TACAGCTGAAAGTATTCTTCTATGGCAACTTTTTATCACATTAAAAAAGTTATTCTTGAAATCATACACACCTAAGTAAAGATTTCCATCTGACTATTGAAGCAATCTTACTATTAAAGTGGGTTGCAATAAATGCATGTTTTATATCAGTGTCTCAAACTTCCAGTATCACAACTACTTCTACATCTTACCAAAGACACTCTGCATTACTACTTACCCAAGGAATGCAAGCAACTGCCCTGCCGCCACAACTCTCCCACATATTTTTGACAGTTTTGGTAATAGCAGGTAATTCTAACTTTTGGACATTCTATAGTGGTTGATTTCTGCAAAAGTTCAAATTATAAACTTTAATGAGTTCATAATTTTGCCATAATATACACACACATACAAAGCTAATACTATTTGAAAAAAAATCTGTTAAGAATTGTATACAAACACACAAATCAATTAAGTTTCATGATGTGATCTCAGTAACTTGCTCCCTTAATTGGAAAATTAGCAACCACATTAATTGCAGTCACAGAATCCTAAAGAAAAATACAAAAGGGCATTAATAGGAGATAACCCACCAGAATCTGCAGAGCATATTGATAATTAACGGGTGAAGGGAATGTTCATTATGGCAGAAAAGCTAGGAGAGATCTCTGGAGCAGCTTAAGGTAGTTCCAACACCGGAATTTTTACTTTTTAAGGGGATAACTTTGAACTTTTCCTTAAGGGAGAGTTTTTTGTTTTTCAAGGGAGCTGCTTTATGTTTACCACTGAATGAAATCTAATTTCCATAGCAGGCAAATGAATAGAAACTACCCTAAAGAAAGAATTAGTAGATATGAACAAGCGTAATATTGGGGAAGAGTTAACAAGGCTTTCATAGAGAAAAGCTATGTCTCACAAATTTACAACCGTTTTTGAGGAGTCTAATTTGATGGATACGGAACATCCAGCTTATACTGATGCTAGCCTTCCCTGAAACTTCTGACAAGATCCCTCAACGGCTCTTAAAAAACACCAAACCTAACCATCAGAGGTAAAAAGAAGCTACTATTGATTGACAGCTAGCAAAAAAGTAGGAATAATCTCAAACCTGTGCTGCTGAATAGTTTCATAAACTATGTTAAGAGAAAGGGTGATAAAATTCGCTAAAGATGTAAAATTGTCAGATAAGTAAAAACCTAAAATATACTGCAGAGGATTATATGCAAGATTTCCAGTAGCAACTGACTGAGTAACCAAGTAACAATGAAGAATGGATAAACGTACTCACAGGTAAACAAAAAAAAAATACTCCACTTGTACTGCAAAGTCCTCAGCGCATGAGCTGCGTATTACTCCATTTATGTTATTCCATTCCTGGTTAATTGTTGTTGCCTCATTCCGAAAAGCACATGTATATTTTTTGCCCAGAGTCCACAAACTGATAGAAATTGTGTAGGAATCTCACATAGCAGAAGGGGAAACAAAAGTGCTAGACTCAGTTGATCTTGGAACGTGAAGGTTATGACAAAGCCCCCATTTTATCCTCCCCCTCCCACTACAGCAACCCTGCTTCAGCTGTTTCCATCTGTTTGTCCGTCTCTCCTTTCTTCCTTCCGCCACTCGAGGAAAGTGGGTATTGCACATATTTTCCCACTCCCAGCCTGGAAAAGTGATGAGGAGATTGATTTTATCCTTATTGTGTGAAAACAGTATTGTTAATACTTCTGACTTGTCATTAAGCAATACCTTACTAGCAAATTGTTCTTGAAATTAAGCTGTTGCAACTCACATTGCTGATGTAGAAAGATTTGGAGGGGAGAGAGGGGCCTAAAATACAACGAGAGTCGAAGCAAAAGGAGCCATGCAACCTCCCGAGTACAGAAAGTGAAACTGATACCAGCTACGTAAGAAGAATCGTTAGAGGAACTCTGACAAGATTTGGAAGTGTATGGAAAATATAAAATATAAAAACCCTGAAAATTCCCCAGGTGCTCTTCAGAGCATTTCAGTGAAACCGCACAAAGCACGTGCTCCGTCACATTTCCACGCAGGAGCTCACGGTGCCTGGACGTTTCTGAATCAGCAAGTCTAACATGAAGGTATTTTTTTTCAGGGGTCAACTTTCCCATTGATGCAAGGAGGATTTACACATGCAAGTCCCATTAACATTAATAGGAGTTACCTACATAAATCCCCCTGCAATGATAGGAGAAAAGACCCCATAGTCCGCAAGGATCTAAGTTCTAATGATTACCTGTCAAATGGCCCTAAGCATCATCATCACCAGAAAAAGCAGACGTAGCAGCTTCATGGCTGAAAATACTTCCAAAGGAACGGTAACTAATTGCAGTCATACCAAAAAGGCAATACAACAGCAGAAGGGAAAATGGCATAAAATTGACTGTTGGAATATTAAGGGTTAATCCAATTAACCAAGTTAAAAAGAAAGTACTCATTAAAAAAGGAATTCAAACATATCAAAGCACTCCTTAGGAAAAAAAAAAAAAAGGGTGTGAATATTGTATGAGCTCCAAGGTGCTTGAAGGATAATACAGCTACTTGTTTAAAAATTCAATTAACCTTATCTTTCTTTAAGTTGATTTATTAATAATCCTACAGATAAATTGCCAGTTTTTAAAAAGTCATGTTATCTTTTGAATACATCCTGTATGACAAGCCTTAAAAACTACTTCAAATAAGCCTAACCCTCACTTTGTATGCTTAAATCATCTAAAGCAAGAACAAAATGCAGTTCAGTGCATGATTTCTGTAAAATACAAAGATCAACAGTCTTATCTACTGCTGTTGCAAGTGAGCTATTGGGTACTCAAGTACCATAGGAAGAACATTTTATGTTTCCATTCACCGTACCAACGAGACATGAAAGCAGTTTTTAAGCAATCAATGTAGTGTAAAGTCATAGGCTACAACTTGTAGATTATTCCGTCTTATCTAAAATCAAATTTGCAGTATTTCCAAACTTTGCTTCACATGGACACAAAGTACTAAGAGGCTACTTTATATAAACTTGCTAACTTATACCAACATACTGTCACACACGTAAACTTCAATCTTATTGCAGATGTCAACATGGTGAAAGTAGGCAACAGAAGTATCAGGAAATCTCAGCTAACAAATGAATCGCTTTTCTTGAGTAATTGAAAGAAAACACAGAAAAAAATGCACTTGCAAGCAAACCTTTAATTTTCAAACGATTTCCTTGGAAACACAGAAGATGAAAAATTCAACTATGATCCCTATTATCGAAAGACAAACAGGAACTATGTCCTCCACTTAGTTCTTTTACAGATCTGCAGGTGTTAAATACAATTACCATACACTCATGCTTTCCAATACACATAAAAATTACAGCTAAATGAAGAGGCACTCTGCTTATTACTATATATAAATAACTGCTCAATCACAAGCAACCAAAGATAACTGGTGTTTAACACTGGAAACATTTCAACCACGTATTTTTCTGAGGACTTTGGGATTATACACACAAGGGTACCTATCCAATAAACAAAGAACGTAAACACTAACAAACCAGTTTTTGAAATGCAAATTGGACGACGTATTATGATGCAAGACAAAATGAAGTTAACCGTACCAGTTACGCTGTAAAAAAATAAATAAATTAACCCTTATGGCATGAAGCCATTTTAAAGGCAGGCACGTGCACTGCAAAATTGTACAAAAGCCTGGATGTGTCAAGTTCAGGCAGTGCTGAATATTCATTATTCAATGGCATTTTTTATTTACGTACAGTATTTAAGCACTGCTAGAACTGTATCTAAGTTCATGTAGAAGTTTAAACCCCAACTCAGCAAAATTCACTGATCTCTAGATATACTACTGATCTATTGGGTGTACATTTTAAGGTAAATCTTTAAGTAAATGCTAAATATTTTTCATCATCTGAATATCTAATTTTAAGCACTGTTCAGAAGAAGTGCAAGTTTATCATGGTCATTTACAATAGCTTTCTCATTCTGTAATTTTTCATACAAACTAGGCTTATAAATACTTCAATAAATTTTACTGTATAAATGCTTTATGATTTATCATTACAAAACACATCATTTACAGCTATTGCACTAATTTTAATCCTATTAACTGGGATCAATACAAACCTTTGGAATTATCAGTTGAACCTTCTCCCCACCACAAAAAACCTCAATTAATGATCATCTAAACTTCTCAGACACATACTTCAAAAAATTAACTACTGGCTTACTAAAGGCCCAAACACTGCAACAAATCCAGGGAAATGAACAACAGGTACACTCCACTTATGATTTTAAATTTTGGGGGGAAATCTAGCATTAAGTTTAAATTGTGCTATTTTTCCAGACTACAGTAAATTAAGTCACTAGTGAGACTGTGTGATCTATTAGATCTTATTAAAAAAAATTGAATGTAAAATACTTTAATGTGAGGAACATCTATTGGATTATATTTGTTTCTACATTATGGCATCAGTTTCAAAACCATAAAAGAAATTTTTCATTATACCAATTAAACATGACATTATTACATATTCTAAAGCCACTCCAGAACTGTCAATATTGTTGCCTTTAAATGCCATTCATAAAACCACTCTGAAGGACAGATTGTGAAGCTCACCTTCAACTGTTTAATTAGCACAGATCCAGTGATTTTTAGTACAGCTGTGATACGTTGTATCAGAAGAGCATCTTCAGACCGGTAAGCAAACTTGCACATTTTTTCTTTTGATTAGTTTCAACTTGTGGCCTGTTTAAAAGATGGAGGATTCCTTCCAAGTTGTAAACCAAAACTAAATTCTCTCAACAAACCATGAATCCTATATTAGCATTTTAAATTCAAATGCTTTGTTCTATGTTTTTTGTTTAGCTACAAACACCCCTGGATCTGGTGAACCTATGACTATTTAGAAATGTCTCAGCTATCAATGAAACTATTTGACGAAGAAAGATTATTCAAGCTAAGGAAAGTAAGGCAATTGCAAATAATACGGCTATGATTTTTTAAACCTCTTTTTCTTACCCTTCCTCCCTCACATTTTAGTTTGGGTCAACCTCCTCTTCTACTAAGAGAACAGAGCTAATTCATTCTTCATTATCTTCTTTCTTAACAGTACTACTATCTCCACTACCACTTTCCTCAGTTGAGGGTTCAGGTTTTGTATCTGGTGAATTACTGAATCCAGACTCTTCTGGCCCAATCTCATCTTCATCATAAATAATATCTTCTGGATTTGGTGCTGGTGGGCAAAATTCCTCTGTAGGAAACATTTCTTGGAATATCGTCTCAGCCTATTCAGAAAAAAAAGCATAAAATAAACTTTATACCTTGCAGCAATATTTTACAGATATTTAAGATTACCCTCTGTTCTTTCAAATCAATAGTGATTTAATACTTTGACAGTATTGTAAACACATGGGAAATCCATTCCTTCTTGCAGTCCTCCAAAAGGAAAAAGCAATCTATCCTTTTACATTGTTCTACTAGGAAAGTCACAGCATAGGGCTTTTTAAAAATGCTGGTCATCCTACATTGTATCGAGAACAACAAAGATGATTTTTTGCAAGCAAAATTACCTTTTCCACTATAAAAATATCATAGCTGCAGTCAAATGCAAAGCATGGGAAAGATCATGCCTCTTTCCAGAGAGAAGAATCCTTTTCACATGACAAGCAAAGCCAGGGAATTGTTAGTATGTATGATCTGCATCACATCTATAGGGGATTCCTTCTTAAATTTAAAAACCACAAAAAAATTTCTATTTCCGTTTTTCTTAACAACTCATAGGTAGCTCAACTGAGAACTATTCTCATCTAATGAAGTATTATCATTGAAAAGATATGCATATTTGTATGTGATACATTTATAATTTATTCAAAAGCATGTCTCAATGTATTATGTGCGTACACCTATGTGCACAAATTGTGCCTTTCTGAAAAGAACTGTATAAGCAACTTTTATTTAGATAAAAAGACAGTTACTCTTAAGATACAGCTCAAGGATTTAATTTACAATGCCACTTGCTCTTCGTGCCATTGAGGTTTAGAAATTAAGTACACACAAAAAGTCAAGTTTTTTGACCACTGCAATGAAAGACATTAAAAAGAAACGTGTCCTTGATAACATCAGGGTAGTTATTATTACAACATACAAAATACAACTACAAAATCTGGGAGAAGAACGACCAAAATAATAGGGTCTTAGAATTCTTGAGAACCAGACATTTTATAAAAACAAAGGAGGCCAAAAATCCTTTAAAAAACACAAAAATGCAAGGAGCTTTGTTAACTAGTATTAAATAGTTTTATGTGTTCTTGTGCAAGTAACCTATCCATAAGCTTATCTTAAAAAAAAAAAAAAAAAAAAAAGCTAGAGACACTCATGAATTTATTTACTGACTCAACACGCCCTTCTCATTTCCATAAAGGTTTTCTTTTCCAAGCCCTTAAGCTTTTAAGGCAAATAGAGACAACTGATGCAGAACACAGTTATGTTTTGGGTTTCTAAAAAGGCAAAGGAATATTGCCTCTCTATTTTGTCTATTTAGTAAACTATGCCCTAAAGACGAGCTGTGATGAGAACTCCCACATAGGCAAGAACGCATTTAATCTTTATATTCATACTGCTACCAGACACTGCACTGAAAAAGCTGACAGTAGGGTCAGTTAATGCCAACTGCAAAGTCTGATTACATGATGGGGATTCCTGGGCAAGAGGGAATTGTTTTCAGATTAATACATCATTGAGCACGTACCCAACAGCTTTCTGTGATAAACTTCGCTGCCCACCGGCAGTGGATTTGTATCACTGGATTTGTATCACCAGCACATGGATGTAGGAATCCATTATTAACTGCTTAAATGACCCTGTCTACTCTCAGTTCAATTTAATTTTTCATTCTGCTTCCTAAATTTCACTCTTCCATACCCATTTAAAACTGTTTAAAACTATTTATATTAGGATATGGAAAACTATACATTAAAAAACCAGAAAATCTATTCTCTACTTCAGAAACATGGTTTTGTAATTTGAAAGCCTTGCCTAGTATGTCTAGGGGGCAAGGGAATAAAAATATCCTACAAAAAGTTTACAAAACTAAGTTTTTGAAGGTAAGAGAAACACTTTTTATTTCAAGTCTGCACTTGTCCTTGAAACTCAAAAAATATACTGAAGCCATTATGTTTAACAGAATTTTGAAGTGTCATATTTTGCACTAAATATATGACACACTACAGCAAACAAACATTTCCTATGCAGTTCTCAACAACTATTCAGTCTCCAATTAGTCAGCAAATATCCACTCCCAAATTGGTCAAATAATTATGAGGTTGAACATGGAAAGAAATTCTCAGTATGTTATGTAGGACATCATGACATTGATTATAATTGAACAATTTAATGGTATAGAGTGCTTTCAGGTCTACCAATTTTTTAAGTTAACCTTATCCAGCTGAAGTCATGCAGAATAACCAATAATAATTTAACAGCTCCTTCACTGTAACACTTTGATACTTATTGCAACAATTAAGTTAGTAAATAGTTCCTTCAATATTTAGTAGTTACGTGTACCACCTTTCAAGTGTGTATGTTTGAATTAAGCATTAAGACATAAGCATTTAAAGCACTTGCACAGATACTCTAATTTAATAACTGTTCAAAGTTGAATATAACTATGTTTTATTGCTGTATTCCAGCTACGCACCTTGATGGCATGTAGACAAGCTGTATGGCCTTTCACAGCAACTTTTACAGAGAACACTACCAAACTAACAGTAGTTTGAAATACGACACACTTGAATAACTCTGAAATCCTTCCAGTTATAGGAAAAAATGTAAACAGGTTAAAGGACAAATATTGGCATGACAATTTTACTGCTTCCTCTTACGAACATGAAGATGCCTCACAAACCTGAAATACTTCAGGGAACATACTGCTTTAGAACCTGATAATTCATTTCAGCTTGTAGCAGCGAAAAAATAGAAAACTGGAAGCTAGATGCTTTACTTGATCCATACATACAGAATTTGAAAGAATCATAAATAGCACTTTACATTTTATTTAGCCTATCCTCAGGGCAAGCAAATGCAGACATCAAAATTAATTCAATATTACTCTAGAAATTTAACACTAAATTAAAATAAAACAAGAATGAAGTAATTTGTATACTGAGCTGTAGATGGATAGTCATCTGTAAAAGTTGTGGTGTCTTGCCTTCTAAATAATGTATCATCAACACAATCAAACAGCATGACATATAGAAGTTAGTAATACTAATGGTAATGAAAACATAAATCATGGGAAGTATCATTAAAACAGTAAACACAAAATTGATTAGAGAAATTAGATTCAATTTTCCAACCTATCTCCAAGACTAACACATACAGTGTTTTTTTGTTTGTTTTTTTAAAGTGTTCTGATCCATGAGTTTGTAAGTATTTCATGCTTGGACACTTCCATCCCATTGCTAGGCAGATGAAAGTGATTTGGGGGCAGAAGGCACACCAACGTACATGTATTTCCCTCCTCCACTTGTCTAGAAGGTACCTGCATGCTAGCTGGAAGGGTGTATTCTAACTGCGAGTTCTGCTTTATCTTCAGCCTATTCTTCACTTTGTTCTCACATACACACCTCACTTTTATCTTCCCTTATGACTTTTTATTATAAACATGTTTACAGTAAGACATTTTTCACTCTAGTGACCACTTGTTTCAAAATTGAAAACAGGTTCCAGAAAAGTGTAGCTTCTATCCGCTTTTTCTGAAAGGCAGTGTTTTAGGTTCTTGAGTGCTTCTCCTCTGAGATCCACTTGTTTAACATCCATCTCACTGGTGGTCACCAGATTTAACACGAAGGCTAACTACAGCACCTAGAACATTTAAACACAGCTTCATCTATAATACCATTACTCATCGGTAAGAAAAAGAGCTCTTAAGGTAAGACAAAGCTGAATGCTAGAAAAGGTGGCTATCAGAATTAGAAATAGGCTGGGTTTTAAGTGTACTTAAACAGCTTGTAACCTGCGCTGTTTCAAATAACCGTTCAAAAAATCTCATTTAGAAAAGAACTCATTGATAACTGCTACCATAATAATTGTCTTGCCTTATTTTTTGTCTTTATAGTTCTTTAGCCTCTTGGGAGACAAATTATTGCCTTGTAAAGCAAAATGTAGGGTACTATTAGCCCTTAATTATACTGTTCTGACCCTACAGTTCAGGCTATGTCAGCCGTTCCACTTTAAAATCTTATTTTTAAGAGGTTTATGACTTAGTCATAAAAAATCCTGCAACTGGTTAAAGATGGCATGCATATTCTCTGAACATGGCCATTAAAAAAACAGCTTTAAAAAATGACTAGGGCCAGTTAATCCTACGAAGGTGTAAAAGTGTTCTCACATTAGCTCTGAAAGCACCCTGACACCACAGTGACTGCTGCGGTAGATTCGCCTAAGAATTTATACCTTCCTTATCAAAGCGGATCTCTGAACGGAAAAGCAACGGAGAAGCATTCCTGTAGTTGTCTTTTGTTGAACAAGTTGTAATCTACATATACGCATGATCTTGTCTTCTGCTCAATAGTAGTGGGGAAGGCACGATGAGAGTACGATATGAAGTTCTTTGTGAATTTCTACGTACCTACCCTTGAAGATCCGGTGTCCCTGCATATTCTGCCTATTGCCAACACAGAAGGTGGCTATCTCACGATCTCTCCACCTACCTAGTTTTGTTTAGGGAGCTTTCACTCTTCACCTCCAATTTCAAAGCACTAGTAGTTTGTCTTGAATTGAGTACTGGTATGGTATGCCTACTACTAGGCCAGCTGCAAGTGGTTCTCAGTTCAGGATTCTAGTTAGCAGGAACCAGATATATAGACACCCAAATACTGAGAACTAAAAATCAGAACTGAGTGTGATTTGATGCCAAATACTATCTCAAGCTCACAAATAGAATGACATTCCCCTTAATTCCTTCAGAGACACAACTACACCATGGTTTTTTAATACAGTGATACTAAGGTGAAGAGAAGGTAAATAGAGACAGGTAGCTTAATGTACCAGATTAGGAATTACGCTCGGGTTTTTTCCCCAATAGGTTTTAGGTTTGTGACCACGTCCTGCAGGTATTAAACTACTTTGATGATCCTTCCAACTTGAACTGTAGGTAGGCTTTTCTGACCTTTGATTTGCACTGCTTCTCTACTATTGTACCTCCTCTTTAACCTTACAGACAAAAGACTACATATTTTGGGGAGTTATCACCTATATTTTTGAATTATTTGACAGTTTTTCCTTTCCACAGTATTACAGCAAGTAACCATTTTACCAAGATCATCATCTTTAGGTACTGCTGCCTTCTAGGTTCCCTTTACCTGTTCAGATTAACTACCTGCTACTCCTAACGTTACTATATCAACTGACCTTTTCTCAAGTTTCCTGAATTCTCAAACCCACTGACATTCACTTTGCTCATTAAGTAAGATTTTTTTATATGTCTAGCTGTGAAGTTTTATAGCTGTATTAGTACTAATTACCTAGCATAAAGCAGAATAACCCAGAACAAAAGTAGACTGTATTGGACTTCCTTAGGTCTTTAAAATTAAAGTTCTGCAACCAAAAAAATTGATCTGCCCTACCTGTTTGACAGCACAGTCATTTCCTAAAGCAGAGTCTGGTCCAGAACAGACATAAACATTTGAAGGTAAGCCATCATACGAGTTTTTGTCAACTCCTGAAGAATCTCTCATGTTGAAGTAGACTGCCCAGAGGACTCTAGGTTTTTCCAGTTCTTCATTTTCAGTCTCTGAAAAGAAAAAAAGAAGAATGTTTCCAGTAATCAGTGTTCACGTGTAATAAGGGAAACACATAATCTAGCATACTAAAAGTCAAGTTATTAACATGGAATTACTGTAATAAAGTACTACTTTTTCTTTAAAAAGCCAATTGATTTTACTTACCATTCTTTTCTGAGGTACTCTTTCATCATACTTTTCCTTTACAACCATAGGTATGTAAACTCTACTTATCTGTGCACACTATGCCACATTAAGAACCAATTATCACCAAAAAGCATACTACCAAGAAGCTTGGTCTAAATTTAACACCTTTCCACTTTATGTTACCTCGTTTACTATGGATAACTCTATGAGCATATTATGGTCTGAACAAGTCCTCCATGCGCTGTGCCAGCTTGAAGCTATTGCATTCCACATGAAAAGACATTTTTGATGTATATTTTCCTCCCCATTTAATAAGTTTATCTTTGCATGGGAACTCTTCTTGTAACAGACCTTTGTGTGCTTTAAGATTGAGTGTCTTCAATGCAATCTAAGGAGACTAACTAATGGTCATGGTTTAAATAAAAGAAATTTGAAAGAAAAATCCACAAAGAATAACTCCACCCCCAAATTAACCACAGATAAAGAATTATCAAAACACAGAAGTACTCTATTTGAGATGTGTGATATGCAGTATGTAGAATCTCTAAACTGTGGCAATACTGCTAAATGAAAATAAATGAATTTATATTTATTTATGCTTACTGGGACTTGTGCTGTGCTACAATACTCATTATGAATACAGAATCATCATAAACTACATCTTGCTTGTTCATCACCTGTACCTTCTCGCAGTTACTTTGCACATTCATACAACCCCTCTGCACGCAGGCAGCAAAACCTCTGGGAAGATGAAGGTCACTTTTTAACAGTGCAGAATGCAATGGAGGAATACACAACATAGATTCTTAGCTTAACAGATACTATTTGTTGGGCATATGTGCTGTCCCCTTTTTGGTATTTTACCGCCTCTAAAATAAATGAAGCTTGTAAAAGACCTTGCAAGATTTACTTCTTTCCAAGGAAGAAACTTCTAGATAACAACAGCATTCAAAACAGTATTTTAAAGCAGTTGAATTAGAAAAAAAGAGATAAATCTATGCTATTCCTTCAGTATCTTTTTATAACTGTCAAATATTTTAAAAAAATAGGTGCTAACCATACTGCACAGTTTGAAATATAAATTAAATTCATCAGCCTGTGAAAGTCTGAGCCTTAATACAGGGCAAGATGCTCTTTAATATATTTAAAAGTTCACATTGCTCATAAAAGTTACTTCTTCCTCATTTAGGCAGGAAAATGAATGGAGTCCTCTTCTCCAGGTGACTTTGCCTCTTTGACCTGCCATGGCCCAGTGCTCACTTTATCTGGTGATTCATTTTCAATAACTCCAACAGTATTTGTTCTGACATTTTAATTAAAATACGACCACTACCTCATCCTGATGATAAAAAGGCCTATGTGTCAGTGAAAACTAGCTCTTCAGTGCCTCAGTGCACCTGAGGACCCCTATGATCACAGAGTTTCTACAGAAGAATTTCAGTCAGGTTCTAAACAATATATCATTTCAAAACTGGATCACTTTAAACATTAAGATTAATGCTACCCCCCAAAAATGATTAGAAGACACTAAACTGCAAGCTAATCTTTTCTTCACCAACTGAGTCTTTGAAACACACGGCAGTGTCTCGAAAATTTAAGATGTATGTTAAATATTAAAAGTTGGAAATTAGCTGGCTTTAAATTAGCAAATATCAACATGAAAAGTGCTTACAGCTCTCCAATATAATAAAGTTTTCTACTTACAAACCCTAGTTGTATTCTACAAATTTGTTTTGTAAAGGCTCTTGTACTACAAACTTAGTAAAAAATTTACATCTTTGGGACATCAAAGATGCCTTTCCTGTAAGCAAAAAGAAAGACAATGTGTATTATTTAATACTTTACTTCCTATTAAAAGCACTTTGTTGTCTAACAAAAACAGCAAGATACTTGGTTTTTCATTAAAAGGTAGAGGGGGAAAAAAAAGTTAAAAAATAAAAAATGGAAAAGAACACAGAAAAACAACCTTGTGAAAAGCTGAACTCAACCCTTCATGAAACGCTGTTCTTGGTTACAGAGCCCTGAGAGGAAAAAGAAAGACTGGCCATATAAAAGACTGCATTTATTTTTTTAGCAGAAGAAAATTCTACCTCAATTCATGTTATGCTTCATGAATGAAGCGTAGCAGGAAATGTTATAAGCAAACCAATTATAAAATATTATAAAATACTTCCCCATCTTACTAACTTACATATATACAAACATAAACACTTCCACTGACAGCTAAGTATTGTTTTCTCATAGAAGAACTATGATTTACTGTATTTAAGTATGAGCACACTATATTTAAAAATGCTTTGCCAGGGTTAGAACACAGCTACATCTTCTGTGTGCACACTAGCTTTTCTATGAGCATCTACCAAAAGTGTGATTTAATTCAAGATCTTGGGATTAAATTTCAAAGAATTCTACGGAACTAGCTCAAAGTACCTCAGGGACAATTTCTTTCTAGGCAACAACTGCTTTGTCAACAGTTACTTTCCTCTAGGACTGTGAAATTGTCCATCTCAAGGTCAAAGTTCATGAAAGTAGATGGCAAGGTTTCCTTGAATTTAGGGCCGAATAGTTCATTATTGGATATTACTGGAAATCTATCTTCCTGGTAACACTGCAGTGTGTAACAACTTTATGCTTCCACTGCTTAAAGCAGAATCCAGACAATTTCAACTAAAAACAGGAAACAAGGAAGCACTTGAAGACGACAACAAAATGACAAGCAACAGTCTTAGAATAAGAGAAGGCAAAAGAAAACTAAGAAGCTTATAGCACTGAGCACGTCTGGCAGCTGGAAGAGAAAAGCAGACTACTAACTTCTGGGGTTTTGATGACTTTTGTTAGGGATACCCAAGTGAGAGAAATCACTAAAAACAGCATAGAGTAACAAACCAGATTCACAAATATTTCATTTCACTACTGCACCTCTGAAAGACATGCTGAGAAGCAAATATGTTTCCATGAAAAAGAAAGTGTGAAAAATTAAAAAGGTTCCAGACACTTAGAGCCATGGTCCTTGTATGCTGAAGTTAAACTACAGCTGAAGAAGACCTGGAACATTAGAACATGAAATACAAAAAGCCTGACATCTGCTAATCAATCTCACTCTCAGAACAGATTCCTTTACTTTGAGATCCCGCTATCTAAATATCAGCTCACCATATGTTGACTCTGATGACAGATTCAGATGTTCAGTAACAGACACTTTAGTTACAAGAGTATATTATATTTCTGCAAAATAATCTCTTAATACTTTGTGTATTTATTTTTACCTTTTTCTGTATTTAGATTGAATAACTTCTGTACAACAGGCTCTAAATCTTCTCTAGCAGTTTTAGTTGACGGACAGGTTAAATGGACTAAATCTGTTAAAAGAACACAAACTAATTACAATCACGAATACACAGATATATAAATATCCTTTACAATTTTTAAAAGGCACAGCAGGCTTTTAGAAATCACTGCTCTTGATATAAATCACTTCCTTTAACCGAGAGAAGCACCGTATTATGGAAATAGAGTGTATATACACCACACAGAATTTTTCTTGATACATCTCATAATTATCTCTCCTTTCC